CACGAACGATAAGTGCCTATGCGGCTGGCTGGCGAGTCTTATGAATAAGCAGGTGCCCTAGACTTAACTTTTTCATTAGTTTTTCTTCCACAGCGGCATGGTAAGTAATGCAGATCGTAGACATCCACGCACTGTCTGGAGAAAAAAAGTGCCATTTAGTGTGATTAAACAATGGCATTTTTCCGTAGAAGGTTTCATTTTAACCCACGAAAATAATTTTTCAAATTTCACTCAATTGAAAGTTGCTACCGACAAAACGGTTGAAGAAATATGAATACAAAGAGACGACGAGACACGCTTTAAAGTAAGAGATATGAGGAGATTTTGAGTCTGGAATAAGGCATATCATATGCATTACTGAGAGTTCACGATCAGTAGACCGTAGAGGGAGATAGCGAAGCTCCGCTGTCGTTAGATAAATGAGTGTTTTTTTTCTTTTTCTCGGCACATGACTAATAAAGTATTCCTTTGACAAACCACATGTGAGTTTATTTTGTTTTAAGTATCGCTAGATCTTCATCAAAACACCCAGATATTTGATTGTTAAAAAAATGCACCCAGTAAACGAGAAACTCGAAAGCGAAGGACAATGCAAACCTTTTGACCTAATGTACGGGTGCAGGCTCAATGATTGCATGAAAACCACGTCAGTAATCCCTTAAAACTTGCTCCAATCTGCACAGTATTCAAATAATGTAGACTTTTCTACAATGACATTTACCAGCGGTCAAAGCCAAGATTTTTGAGACTCTTATGTCAATGCAGGCATTTTCCTGAGCTGCTTCATCAATGGTAACAAAAAATAATAATTATGCTCCTCCAATAATGAGAATTTTTTTATTTGTTTAGTTTAATCTACTTTGCTATATCTTTCAATATTTTTCACCTAAAATAGACGGGTTCTCAATTTTGTGATATGCCGCTCATGCAAGTGAACTTTTAAAACGAACCAAATGTAAGCAGGTTTTCATTGAACACAGAATATGTTAAACTGAGATGTCTCTTTCGAATACCGAAAAACGACAAACAAGATTGACGAACGATGGAACTGATAAAAACTTAGAAATCTTTAATCATACGAGAGGCTATTATGAAACGATGACAGCATAACTCATAGCGGCGTAAAAACTTTAACTTCCGGAACATTACGTGAACATAAGATAAACAGAGGTGAACTATTGAGGAATCCAACAGTCAGAAAATACTTTTTTGGCATAGAACCACTGTGACTGGAAACGAAGGTGAACCACCAAAAGTACAGGGTAAGTCGTACCACTTTTTTCTGAATATAAAAACACATTTTTCGTGAAGGAAGTTTGGTTCTCCCTGCGCCCATGCTGAGAACCGGCCCGCCAATGGAGTACCGTCCATCCAGTAAAACTTATCGTTTATTTTTCTGTTCAGTCCAATCTATGCACTACGATTTCTCCCGTTTGGTTGGCTCATTATAAGGCGAAATATGAAGTCGTTCTCATCGGCAGATTTGATTATCGGCGGATGTGCCCGGTGATTTTGACAAAACGTGAGTGCATCGTTCCATCTTGGAGTGGGAGTGTTATGAATAAGGTAGCATGAATTCTCATGACGAAACCAACCTTGCGGGCAATCGTATTGGTCAGTAGAAGTTGACAAAAAATCAGATCATGTCATTTCCAAAATATTATCATAACAATGAACATGAAGGGGTTGTACGTGACAGCTAGTGATCTAAACAAACTATCTTCGAGTGAAATGCTAGTTTAAATAACAAATAATTTTGCCATAACAGTGATAAAAAGAAGTGGGTCGAATGATCCCATCAATGGGTATTTTCGAAATCAAAAATCGCACACAAGCCATTAATGACGTTACGCAGGTCAAATATAGAAAACTGGCTGCAAACAGAAAAAACTACATTTTTTACTACCTGCTTTCAGCCGTTGGAACACTGAGGTTAAAATATTTGAGTAATGCAGTATGGTCGATATTCACACAACACTCAGCTTTAAACTCGGGTATATTTAATCACATGTGGAGGCGCGGTGGCCTCATAGTTAGTGCGCCCGACTTCGGATCGGGTGGTCCGGGTTCGAGCCCTGGCCGGGGTCAGTGTGTTGTGTTCTTAGGC